AATTTCTTTTATTTGATGTTCTGAAATGGCAGGTCAAACATGCTTGCAACTTCAGAAAAACACAGGGAAACAAACAGATCCTCATCTTAACTGTGTTACCAAGAAGCCTCATAGCCTAGAGAAATCAAAACTGATTTCTTGCAGGTCTGCAAAAAACCTAACTTTTAAAGGCAGGTATAGGTAGTTCATTCTGTGGCTTTAATATTTTATTACTGGAACAATGTCACTGAAGTGAGCTGCCTGCTTGCAGAGGAATGTACTTTTTAATAGACTAGTTATCGAAAGGTTGTGCTGAAGAGAGGAACAGCCAATAACAAACACCACACATAATGGAAGTACTGCTTATTTTTTCTTTCTTTTTTTTTTTAAAGAAAAATCCTTCTATGTTAGATATTCTAAAGCCTAAAGAGTCTATGCTACACAGAAGAGATGCAAAGAATTTAAGCTGAGGTTGCACTCAACTTAGTGCTGGATAATTGTCTCATCATTCTAAGAGTATTAAAATACTCAGTTAAAGCAGCTTGAATGCACAGGAATTCTGATGTGTTTGGAAAATGCAGGAAGGAGACAAAAGACCAGTTTCTTCCCTAGGACTGTGCAGCCAAAATATAGCTGTTTCTGAATTGATGCTGATGAAATGAGAAAGCATTTTGTTAATATCCCACAGAATAAACCAAGGCCTAATCAGCTTGTCCACACAACAGATTGCCACACCTGCAAATGCTATTGTACCACAGTGAGATATGCAGAGCAAAGGTGGTTCTTTACTGGAGCTTAATAAGAAGCCAAGAGGAAACAAAATCTTCTCAATATACTCTACATGTACACCCTTGTATTTCTGTCACTTGTTGCTAGGCCACAGCTCAGCATCTAGGGGAGACCTCAAGTGGTTGTCTTCTGAACTTAACTGCAGTGAAAATTTGTGGCAATTGTGAAAATTGAAATTCTGAGAAAGTGAAAATTGGGTGTGGAGCCCAGAATTAATGTTTCAGCACTGAGTCATGGGAATCTCATCCCTGCTGGGCCAGGCAGAGCTGGGCCAGAAAGGGACTGCCACAGCATGCTTATGCTCAGGTCCCTACAGAATTTGGGATTCATCGGAGACATGGAGAGGGATAAGCCTCTAAAGAGATACCTGGCAGCAAACTACAAATGGAGAGGAAGAAGCAGAAAAAAATTAAACCTCTCTTTGCAAAATTTACTACTACAACACAGCCTTTAAAGTTCATACCAGGAAAATATATGCAAAGTCACCTTCCCATTATGACACAAGCTTACTGTGGCTGGATTTTACTTAAGACTAAGGAGATAAGTAACCATTCCAGGTAGCCTTGGTCTAGCACTGTGGAGGTTGATCACTTCATCTTGAAAGTGATCACTAAGGCTGTTCTACCTCTCCAAAACCATAGCCACCCACGTCCTACTGTGTCCCATCTGCCTTTCCAAAGAGACAACTTTCAGGAAGCTGGCAGGCAGGAGTCCCCTGCCCCTGGCAGATGCATGTGGCCAGCAGAAGGCACAAATCAGGCTATGGCTCCCGCTAGAAGAGCAGATATGGGTACGTGGGCTGTTTAGGAATTCACACACTACTTTGCTGACCACCACAGGGAGAAATGAAGATCGAGTTCTGTACCTGGAGAAGACCTGAGAACCAAAAAAAAAAAATAACCCCACAGATGATGTAGGTGTCACTTGCGGTCACAGCAGCGGGGACGTGCACTCGACCGTGCGCGGACTGGAGTGGAACCGCGGCCGCGGGCGGCGCCGATCCCGATCCCGCCCCGCGCTGGCGTTGCCCCAGGGCCCGGGGAGCGGGGCCGCCGGGAAGAGCCGCTCCCAGCTCCGCCGCAGATGTGCGCCGGGCCCCGAGGAGCAGGTGAGGGCACCCCGGCTTGCTCTGGGGCCGGGGATCCGGGGGCCGCTCCCAAAACGCTTTCCAGAGGGCGGCACGAGACCGGGAGCGGCGCGATGGCCTCGGCGCAGCCACGGGTCGAGGCGGCCGTGCCGGCGGCCGGAGGCGAATTCCAGGGCCAGGGCCGAAAGCCATAGGAACCCTTCCCGCTCCCAGGGAACGCTGACGGCCCGGCCCATCCCGGCAGGTCGTGCTTGGCCAGTGCCAGCCTGTGCGTGAGTGTGTGTGCAAACACACACACCGGTACATTTCCCACTGCAACAGCGGTTCTCCTCGCACCTATTCCTGGTGTTTCTCACTAGCACGTCTCTCCTTTGAGTTCTCAGGCCATACCAGATTCTCAGGAGAGAAGCTCCCCAGTGCTCCCGGACAATGGCAGGTAAGAGCAAATGCGAATAAAAATGCTGCTCACTCCAGGCCTGGGCAAAGGGCACCTCAGGGATGGGGCCTTGCTGCTGTGTTTAGTTGTGACTTTGAGGTCTTAACTTTTTCAAACCACTGAAATTATTCAGTAAGTGATGCCTTGGAAAACTCCGGTCTCCCCAAACACAGTGTCCAGGCGCCTTTCGCTCCAGCGAAAGGAAAACAATCTGACAACTTTGCAGAATAAATCTTACCGCCTCTTGGACATTTTGGCATCTCCAGGTAGT